AAAAGGCTTGAACTACTTCAGTTGGTGTGCAATGAATCTAAAATATATGAAAGTTTAATGTTTATCAGTACATTACAGAAAAGAATAAACTTTATCACAATATGCTAATTTTTTGAGAAGGACCTGTACAGCCCCTTTGCCCCACTAGCGCCTCTATAACACAGTTCAATTTGGCTCTCCACAGTTCAAGGCTTTTCCACTAGCAAGGATCCGTGGAACCAGACCCTTTTTTGGTTCCAAGTGTACCRTGCTGGCCTGAAAACCTGACGTCAAAAGACTGTCTCTGATTGGTTAGGGGGAGGAGGTAAAATAAACTTAAATATCAATTAGCAGTGAGACAGTCCAACTCAAATGTAGCATCATCTGTTGCTGCAGATAGTCATCCAGGACATAGGAAGTGAAAAGAACAAAAACGAAGGAAGATGGGCARAGTTCTGTGCTTGAAACTCTCATCAGGTTGGTAACATTTTAAATTCTTGGAACGACCTGCTCACCTTTACCTCAGTGATGTTACATATGCTCGTACACTTTGAAAAYCCCTGATTTAGAGAGTTTCTGAAATGAGAAGTGGGCCCAAATCCCTCTTAAGGTCTGGTCCAACATGGAGAACGACTACAAGAAATTTTTTAGTTGACATTCTGTCATCATTGCTGAAAAGTGGTGGCACAGAGGTAGGTTGCAGGTTTGAATACCCAGACCATTACCAAAATCTGGAAGGGAAAGGTAACCCACCCCTCGCACAGTGTCTGCTGGATAGGGGCACCTGTGACACTGAAAGGACAGAAGAGGGTATAGATAATGGATGGATGTCACCCTTTCTGTTTCTCTCCTAACAACTCTCTACAATGGGAAAGGTGACACATCCACATCTGTCTTCACYCTCATTTATGCCATTTTGGACCTTTGATCAAAGCCCTTAACCCAGTTGCTCTCCCTAGCACTTTGGATGGTAGTTCAGTGGTTGGTTAATGAAGGATATACAGTGTAAAAAAATAAAATAAAATAAAAATTGCCATGTCTACATGTGAGGTTGCTTACTGTGGTGACCTTTGAAGGTGAGCAGCTAAATAACATTGTGTTTCTCTCCATTAAAATAAAGTTACCCTACAAACTGTAAGTGGGCAAACTTTACCAACTCAATAGGAGATGAAATCATCGTTTCCTCCACTGTGACTTAAAGCTGAATGAACAAATAAAAGGCAAACAGAAACATAAATGCTTCAAATGGGAACTCCAAACAGACAGTGAGAGTTTAAACCAACAATTTGTGCCGACTTTACGTAAATATCTCTCAACATGGATCTTCTTATTAATATTTTCTTCAAACTGCACTTCTCTGAACCTCCTGGAACATTTTTCTGAATACTGTTCAAAGGAAAACTTTCTGAAACGTGTTGAGAGGAGCGGTTACCTGGGAGGACACACTTCCACAGGCCGTAAGTTTTCCCCACCGCCGTTTGCCAAAGTCTGAGCGTGCCATCCTCAGAACCACTGGCATACAGCTCGCCATCAGGACTGAAGCGAACACAGTGGACAGGGCCAAAGTGGCCTTTATAGGATTCTGTAGGAGAGGAGAACATTAGAGAAGAGCCAGACGATGTCTAACACCATGTTTTTATGTTACTGTCTGAACAAGCAGCGACAAGCAGGTCAACTTAAACAAATATTAACTTTGATCTTTTGTTTATAAAGAATTTATTTTCTTTAGAAAAAGTAAATAAATCCACCAAAAGCAAAATGTCAACCCATACAGTGTCCATGTCTAAAACTGACTTGTAGATTTATAAATGCTTTGGGTCATTACTTTAATAAATATAAACTTTATTTATAGAAACACAAACCTTTAACTCTTCTTTACCTCTGAACCAAACAACCTGTCGTAAAGTTACCATCAGAAAGAACTGTTTAACCAGGCGCAACTTTAAAAACACTATCACATTAAATTAGAGCTTATACATTTTATTATATATACTTTCAGGGCATTTCTCAATTTCTACTTTCTACCTTTCTAATTTGAGTAATTGGTCCAATCAGTCAAAGGGAAGACAAGCAACAAATCCTTTCTGGTTCTTCATTGGCTTACAACCTAGAAATATGGAATTTTTAATTTGATGACTATGAATGAATTTGACCACGAGGAAGATGTTTTCTTACTTTTTGGATGATTATAGATTTCAGACAGAGTTGGACCAAATGGACATGATTTACAGGAAAAAATGTGGTCTTAACTCGACTGCTGCATATTTGGAAACGGTGGCAGAGAATGGTGAGTGTTTTGTGTATTTATTTCTTTTGCATTCACTCGGTGGTGGTATGTATTGTGCGGCTGCACAATGACGACCATCCTACATCAAGGAAACACTCCTTTGTAAAACTACAGACTGTGTAGAGTGTGACAACATGTGCTGAAACCGGACAATGGAAAAGCAGAGAACCAGAAGAGGGTAAAACATTCTCCAGCCTCGTGCGCAGTCAGAACTCTCTCTGACCTTGGTCTCCCCCTGACATGTTGGGGCTTCAAAGCAAAGAGGATAAATCAAAAACTGGAACAAAAGGAGGGTAGACTTCCGACTGGAACCTGGAAGTTGAAGACGGGACAGGCTCAGCTTCTCTGCCAACTAGTTTCAGCGCAAGTTTTAAGCACCGCCCTATCCACATAAATGAACAAAACACTGTCCTCCTTAGAAACTACAAACATACCTCAAATACATTTATATTTGTTGTTGTCACCACTTGATTCACCTCATTGTTTGAATGCTATCAAGCATTCAACTTGCATCTAACTCGTTGCACTATTTTTTCCCCTTTTCAACTATTCCTTTATAAAAACATTCAGCTTATTTATGCCATGGATGCTATGACTTCTTGCATTTGCGCCACTTATACTTTTTCAGCCATTTAGCTTTTATGACCTTTTTTATGACTTTGTTGTTGTTGCTCATTGAAAATAAAAATGGATTTGTCTTCAATATCTTTAAAGGGATCCATGATTAGTTGTAACATTACACTTTATTTGATAAACATATTTTAACTGTAAAATAAAGACTGTAAAAATACTGTAGGATGTTTAGTTTTGTAAATTTTTAAAAATATATTTTAACACGGACAGAGCCATTTTATTTACACACAAAGCATTCTGGGACATGGTGTGAGCGAGCTATATCC